GGTGCAATGTGCCCTATCTTATTACAATAATGGCAAATAACGTTTGGATTATTCATCCTATATGGTTGAGTGTAATGAGTTCTAGGTTTGCTAGGATGTGCTCTTCTAGTTTGATTATTTATCCTAGCATTTTTATTCCCCCTAGCTTTAACAAATGTTGTTTTTCTAGGTTGGTTTTTCTTATATCCAAGTCCTTCACCATTACTAACTTTTTTCTTAAGTATTTTATCTAAGGTGTTTGAAGCATTATTGAACTTTCCCAATTTGCTCTCTAAACTAGCAACCTTAGCTTTTAGTGATGTACAACTAGAGCATGTAGAAGAAGTAGTTGAAGGTTCTTGTGGCCTTTTTCCAAAAGAGATAATTTCTTGTTTAAGTTTATCATTTATATTTTTGAGTTCTTTGATTTCATTCTCAAAAATCAGGATTTTTTGCTTTATTTCATTGTTTTCTTTGGAAGCCTTTTTGAACATTCCTACCAAATCTTCTACAATGCAAACAACATCATTAAGAGTTAAAGGATCATTGGGAGAAGGTTCTTGATCACTTACCTCTTTTGATGTTTCACCATCCTCAATGGCCATGAGACATAGGTTGGCCACTTCCTCCGTTTCCGAGTCTTCATTCCCGGAGCCGTCGTTCCTCCGTTGAAACTGACTCAGTAAAATTTTTTTAGACAGAGGAAAAGTAATTTTCAACTGACTCAGAAAATAATAATTTTTTATCCCTCAAAAATAATTTGTTTGTGCAGAAAATATTGTCATCCTTACAAAGATTCCTACACTTAATTAAAACAAATCTTTGGAGTCTTCACTTCACTTCAAAAAATTCTACGTAGGGGTAAGCCTTGATTTTATCTTGATACGCCTTTTTGCTTTTCTCGATATGAAAAATAAATTTCCGATCAGCTTGAATTTAATCATTCTGTTTGTCATTCATCAAAACAAAAAAGTATATTACAGAAGAAATAATAAAGGGGTTTGAACTCATGTTCAACAAGTTTTGCTTTCACCTCTATGAGGTTACCATCATTGGTCTTCAGTTGAAGAATTCTTCATCACAAGTTGTCAACAGAAACGACTTTCAGATAGTCAATTCATACTAAGGATAATGTCAATTTTCTTGTATGGTATTTCAATGAGATATCGTTTAACGAATGATTTTGATTCACGGAATGTAATCGCATATTGTGTCGTAAAGGGTCAGACATCAGAATGGGATACTTCAGATAACAGAGTTTATTAATTCTAAACGTTCGTGTTTGAATCAACGCTTAGATCATCTTGAGTCCACATGAGGATATTTGACATCAGCTTCACAGATGTTTCTCAACATATATCAACACGAATCGTTCTTTAGGTTCATCTCACTTCCGTGCGACTTTTCTGGTACAGATCAACTTCGTCATTCACGATGTGATGCGTACGTTGATAACGTATCAGAGGTTTATACATTTTTTTTATTCTTTCGTTTCTTTACCGAATACGAAAATTCCACTTGAGTCTATGCTCGATATAATTTCAGTACTAACAATTGTTATCAAATGAGAATTTTAACAAGTCAATATTTACTAAGTAAATTCTCATACCTTTCCTGGAGCTGAGGGATGCGAGCGTCGTGGATTTGATTGATTTTTTTTACTCAAAATATATATACTTTGTAATATATATATATATATATATATATATATATATATATATATATATATATATATATATATATATATTTAAATTAGATTTTGGTTCGAAGATCGGTTTTAAAACCATTTGCTCCGATGCTAAACTGTAACACCCTAATCCGTCCAGGTCTGCATCCCCGGCCCTTTCTGACTAAAGTATTGACTTGGTATTCGTATAATTTAAAACTTTTCAAATAACTTTATTCATCATAAATAAAATTTCATACACGCAGGAAATACGGAGTGTTTAATAATATGCGGAAGCGACTTTTACACATTTCTCATAACAAACATAATTATTTATTTTGTCAATAAATCCACCACGACTGTCTCACTCCTTCCGCTTCTAGGAATATGTCAATAATTCATTCTGTCTACTTGCGTGTAGCAAATAAAACACACTACACGCTCAGGGGTGAAGCTGAGTAAGCATATCTAAAGCGTCGAACATCCACATAAATTGAATCTCAATT